ACCAGTTACTGTAAGGTAAGTTATTCCTGTTCCTTTTCCTCCTGTCTGAGTGACACCGCTGTACTGCGTCTCTGAAGAGCACCACTGCAATCAGATGACAGTTTGACATTCAAGGATATAAACATGAGACACTGCAGACAAGTAGAAAACAATCCTATGAAATTACATCCTGCTTCCTAGTGGCAATAACACATCTTGTTTTCAAACTGTTGGTCTGAATTCCTATTTGAGGAATGTGGGATCCAGCTGGTACATAAGCCTGTTCTCCAGTGCAGCAGTAGGTGTGAGCGAGAGGCGTGTGTTGGATGCTGATGAGTGGTGGCAAATGCTGGTTAGCTTTGGAAGTGGACACCAGGAACTCTGCCGTTCTGAGATGGAGTAGCATTTCCCTCTTTGAATGACCATAACTGATGTTTAATTCTCCTACTGTGAAGGCTGTTTCTTGTTTCCATCCCGTATCAGTAAGTTGCCCTTGTGTTTATCTTGCAGGTTTCTGAGCATGGCGAGGATGGGACAAAGCAGAGCAGATCGGAGCAGGACTTGTCACTCCCCAAATCCTAGAAATTTTAGTTCATACGTACACTTGCCAGTGGCTGTGGGCAACCATTTACTTGGTGTAAAGAACTTACTATCAGTATAAACTGGCTCTGGGCAGTGTCAGTGATGCTGCACTTTGAGTTGTAGCAGCTGTAATTGTGAATATTACTGAAATAGTGAAACATGGTGTCCAGTTTTCTATTGCATTTTTTTCAAGTGGAAAAGTTAACTAATGGTTGACACACAAGTGGAGAAAATTGTGCATATGCCAATTTTTGTTACCTTTTTACTTTGAACTACACTGCTTATGAGATCTCATTGTTTTGGAAGAATGGCATGAACAGTCTTCGGCAACAGTTGTGATAATTGTAAATGCTCACAATTGTGCACTCTTTTCTGGTTATTCCTCCCTGGGTTCTGAAAGTTGTACACTTAAAACATTCTTAAAGTTGTTGGCTTCTATGTGCAACATACCAAGCCAGCTGACATGGTAGTAACCAAAGATTCCAGTTTTTAAGCGTATGAAAGACTCTGCCTGCTTACCTGTGCTAGAAATAACAGCATCTAAAGTGAAGACTTAAGAGAAACTTAGCGACTACTAGATAATCTTTAGGACTCTGCATTAACTCTATAATGTTCTTGGTATAAAAGGAAAAACAGCATATTTGTCACGAAATTTAGTTAACATCTTACAACTGAACCTGTATGTAAGTTGCTTAGATAAATGTAATCACTGTAAACATCTATATGATCTGGGATTTTGTTTTTATTTTGAAGCGGGAGCTTTTTTGTTTACAAGTTCATTAAAAACTAAAAAGTGTTTTCTGTAAGGAAATGAGGTTTTTTAATTTGCCTTGTTAATTCAGTTGAAGAAATCTGCATTACCCTGTTTTTAAACCAAGTTGCAAGGCCATTTGTTAAGCAAAAGACGTCATATTTCTTTCTAAATCATTTTAGATTTAGTGTTGTAACTCTTCCTCGTTTTGTTTTTAAATAAATTTTGTATTTTTTCCTTGAGGGGGAAGGGGCAGTCTTGCATTTTTATAACTTGTTGGTTGAGACCAGCCCTCTATACTAAAGATTGGAGCTTTTTAAAACAAAATGGCATCTTTTGCAGCCCCGGCATGGGCAGCCCCCTCGAGCGCTGCCATGTCCCACACTGGCTGGACTGACCTGTGATTGCTAGTTTTAAGGAAATAAATTTGAATGGAGTATTTGGATGGTTTTAAACCAAGGCATTTTCTTTCAAGTTCTTGTGAAGTGGATATGACCAGATTTACTCTTGTTCTCGGGGACAGCCTTGCACCATGCAGAGTTCACATTGGTTACTGCCCCAGGCTGTCTTCCTTCTCACTCCTATTCTAGCCCAGCTGAAAAGAAAGAAATACTTTTATTGCTGGTAATTCTTTAACAGTGTAATTTATTCCTTTATAGCATGTCAGAATAAATTAAAAAAATGTCTGAAAATGCTGCCAGATGCCTATTGTGTAAATGTTGTTTGTATGTTAGCTTTTTAGACCGTTTCCATGCATGTAGCAGAGTTCCTGCTCACAATTCATCTTTTTACTGTTTGAAAAGGTCTTTCCTTTTGAAAATCATTTCTTGGAGATCACAACACTTACACTGTGCACCCTCTGCCCTCATGGAGGGGTAACCTGGATCAAGGCCGCGCTCCCGTGCGGTCACTATGCATACTCTCCTTACGAGAAGGATCTGCCCTGAGAAGATGTTAACCTTTAGCTGGAGAACATTGTGTGCTAATAAACATTCGTATAGATAATCTGGGAGTACAGGGCAGCAAAAAGTCTGCCGGGCTTCAGAGATAGCGGTGCACATATGGAAACCTCTTCTGAGTCAGAGCGGTCTCTCTCTGGTACCTGGAAGGTGGAAGAAGCTCGTTCTTCTGGCTAGGATGTTCTTCCAGACACAAGTATTGCCCTATCTGAATAAGGATGCTTTACAAGCAATGCCTCATATGAAAACTGGTATGTTTCTAAGAACTGGTATCTAGAATACTATGTTATGTCTTTACATATGATTTCTACTGTCTAGGCAATGCCTCTGACAACATGCATTGGTGGAAGGGGAAGAAGCATCATTGAAATGCCTTCTTGACGGCTGTTTTTGGAGTGGCTGCTCGGAATTGTTTTGGCACCACTTTTCTTGCTTTGACATGAGATATTTGAAAGTTGGAGGAAATAATTTGGTTTCAGGAGAAGAAATTATTTCCTCTGTCCATTAAATTTACTCATGGCTTTGAGGAGGGTTGTCAAACTTTAGAAACAAAACTGCCCTTGATAAGCACTGCAAGCAAGAACAGTTCATGTGCTCGGAGTGTCAAAATGCATTTGTGTGTAGTTGTTACAACTGCAAGCCTTGTCCTGAGGGGCATGGAGTCCAGTTAGTCTTTCAGACATGGTGTGTTAATAGAGTTTACTTCTGCACAGAAGTGTGAGCTTGAACTGTCAGCCCTGTTGTGCTGCTTTACGGAAAGCCAGCCTGCAGCAGACGTGTGAGCAGTGCACGAGATGGCAACCTTCCTTAAAGAGATGCTGTGATACTGAACACTCATTTGCTGTGTAATCGATTTGGTTTGTAACAAAGACTTCAAACTGAAAGCATTAAAAACTATGTGGATCTTGACTTCTGGTTGCAGCTCTGCAAAGGGTTTGTGTTGGGAGGTTTATTCTTATGTGCTGTCCTGATACAAAGTCAAAAACTTCTGCAAGCCATCCCAGGCCCTTTAGAAGTAATTATCATTGTTAACAGAGGCTGTAAAGTGCAAGAGCTACAACCTTGTGCTCCCTGGAAAGTGCTAGAATTCAGGTAATGGCATTAGGCTGTGACAACAGGTTTTTAGTCAGCTTACTAAGCTGTGTACAGGGTTTCAAAGCAATTTATTAACCTTCTTAGAACAACTCTTGAGAGGCATCCTAAGGCCACCTTGCAAAGGATTGCTTGATTTGGAGAGTGGAGTGCTCATTTGTGCAGTGTACCGGTTCATTAGTTTTAACCTATTTAAGCTGTTCCTTGTTAGAAGCAATTGAAAGCCTGTTCTCCCATAAAAGGCTCTGAAAGAAGGTCAGATTTCTGTAGGTCTCAGTTGTTGGTAACATTGGTAATGTCCCTCTCCCTGCCTTGCCCCCTGTTCTCTGTGGTGGTGCTCATTGGTGCTAGGTGATGAATTCAAGCCCTGGCTGTGTGGAGAGCAGTCAGTGTGAAAGCTGGATGTTTCTGGTAGGTGTGTCAAGTCTGTCCAGTGTGCACTACCCTAATTTGATTTCTGCTGACTTCTGTTGAATTCTGTCTGTGTGGGGTTATTTTTCAAGGTTACGTGTTGACAAAGCTCTGCTGCTGTGGTGTTCTGCCTGTTCTCTCAGTTGGCTTTTTCAGGTGTGTTGCTTACAACCTGCAGGGACTTGCATGTGCTTTGTGTGCTGTGCTTTTCCTACGCAGGCTGCAGCAGAGGTGAAGGCACCGAGCTGTGCTGCTCTGAGCAGGAGGCTGGGCTCGATGCCTCCCTGCAGTCCCTTCCAGCTGGATTACTTCTGTGATCCCAAGTTGGCTTTTTTTTGCATCAGGCTTTAATTTCTCTTGACAGCATTTTCCAATTTAGAAGATTTGTTGCTTAGCCAGCTCTATCAGCTCCATCTGCTCCTTAATCGCGGTGAAATCATCGTGATTTCATATCAGCTTGATGTCGTAATGCAAGTTCAGGAGCATGGCAGGCTCCAGACTAAAAGGAAAAGTGGGCTGGGAGGAAGAGCTGTCTGCTCCAAGCACTAATATATCTGGAAACACGAGGCGAGGGATGACAGAGGAAGTGCCCACCCTCCTAATAGGGCCTGAGTGGAAGGGGCTGCGTTCGTGGCGTGTTCTAATGTGGAAATGGCTCTTTAATGTAATCCCAGGGCTAAACAGGAAGGGGGGAGGGTGGTGCCAGGTCTGCATGCAAAGAGCTGGGATTGACTGTGGTGCTAGAGCATGAGGACGGGCACTGTGCTCAGCTGCATTAACAAAGCTTTTCAAAATAGAGCCAGGAGTATTGTCCTTCACCATAGGGAAATGTGCTGTGTTAAGGGAGGGCAGTGACCTTGTTTGTAAAGGAACTACAGTGTGCTCAGCTGCTTTGCAAAGCTCGGTACTAAAGTACTAAATACTAAATCTTTCAGATTAAGATGCTAACTTGACTTTTTGCATTGTGTGAGATGTTCTTAGATATGATTGTTGCTAGTGCTGCATTCAGGTAGCTGAAGGTCACAAGGAGTTAAGGAGTATTCTCACACAGAGTGATCAGATTTCCAAGTCTTTTTGTCCATAAAAGAAGGTGATGCAGCTCCTTTTCCAGAGAACAGCTTGGCATTTTGGTATCAGGGGCTGCTTCAGAAGTACCTGAGCACACTCAGCTCTCAACTGTTGTGTTTTCCCTCTCCAGGAGCGTTTTGTCCTGTTGATAATGTGGATTATTTCTGTGAACACAGCTGGTCTGAACTTCATGTCTTTCCCTCTCTGAGCTGAAGGATAGCATCAATATGCGTGGCTGGCAGAGGAGCTCTTCCAGAGCTGCTCTGTGCGCTCCTTCTGTCCCAAAGAGCCAGCTCCTGGTTCCCTGTTCTCACCACCCTTGAAATAAGTGGGCGTCATGCTGCTTTTCAGGTGATGGACTTTGAACTTCTTTGTGAATGGAAGCAATTCTAGATCATCAGAAGACCTTGAAGGAGTGTCCATGCTGTCATACAGGCTTGTGAGCTTTCCTTGCTGCGGCCAGAGCCCCTGCCTGCGATGATGATTCTGGGCCTTGCCCTTTACAGTGCTGTAAATGCACAGGGCAGGTGCCTGATGCAGCTCGGCTCAGATAACTGCAGGGGTGGGGTGGTGGAGTCACCTGTGTGACTCCCTGTGCTTCCTGCAGCCTCCTGGTCCTCCACAACAGGGGTACAGTGAGCAAGTGGGCCAAGGTGCAAGGAAGGGAGAGGGCAGAGTCCCTCCTTTGTTGCTGTGGTGCACACAAAGCAGCGCTATGAGACCTTCCCAAGTGAGACTATCGGATGTGTGTAACTGAGAACCCCAGGATTAGAGGCTGGTGTCCTTGGCACATCTTACCCTTGCGTCTGCCTGGCTCGCCCTCGCTGCTGCATTCGCTGCTCATGGGGTTTGTACCCCAGCTGTGGTAACTCTGCTTCTTGGCAGCGTGGGTAATTTAAAGGTCCTTGAGCCCATTTCTACATGACTACAAGGGCAGATGTTTCACAGCTGGTGCTGGTCCCAGGACCAGCTTGGGGCTTGCAGCTGGCTCTGGTGTTCCAAAGCAGGTTCTTGCTGCTGGACCAAGCTGGCCAGCCTCTGTGGGTGGGATTTTCCAAATCTTCATCTGGTGGCAGCTGAAAGTATGGTTTTGCCTAGGTCAGGCAGAGAGGAGCGAGGAAGCATTTGCCTGCCTTGGTGGACAGGCAGGTACAGTCATGCAGTGCAGGACGAGAGCAGAGAGGTAAAGCTAGAAGCTGGTTTCAGTGGTTTGAACTGGGAAACATCACTTGGGCAGCAGATTGGGTCTTCCGTGCTGGAGGCTCCCCCTGACTTGTGCCCAGCTCGTTCCTCCTCCTTGGTGACTGCTGGTGCTGGGCCGGGACTGTTCGCAGCACTGCCCAGGTCAGGGTTTTGGTGCTGCAAACAGCATCTGGAGCATTAGCACAGTGGAGCGTGTGTGCATGTTCCTGGGGGCTGGTACCTGCTTTATGCCAGTTGGACTTGGGGTAACTCCTGCTGCACGGCACTGCTTGAACAGCCAGAATTCCCTGCTGACTCACATCCTGGAAGTGTCCAACTTCCTTCCTGAGACCCTTTCTTCTGAAGGAGGAAAGGCGAGGAGCCCATCTGCGGCCATTCTCCCCTTGGGCTTCCCAGGAAGTATTAACTGATGTTTTTTATTAGCTGGGCTGGTGCTGCACTGCTGAGGAGCATCAATAAACCCTGTTTGCATTGCACGCCCAGCGTGGGAAGGTGCTGCTGTGCTAACGCTGATTGACGCAGCCCTGCCGAGCTCCCGCTGTTAACAGATCCCACAAACAGATTATGGGCAGAAGTCACTGCGCAGTGACCTTCCTCCCTCTCACCAACAGCTTTTCACACTGCACCTTTGCCCTTCCCATACCTGCTGGTGCGGGCTCGCAAGTGGGATGTGAGCTGGGCACTGCCAGCGCATTCACAAGGGGCAAAGTATGGGCTTGGGAGCTTGATGCTGATTGGAAGTGGCTTGTTTTTTGCTTCCCGACATGCAAACAGCTTGTGGGGTCTGCTCTGTGCGGTGCCAAGCCTTTCCTAGTGAAAGGCTGCTGGGTATGTAGCCCGCTGCTCCCATTCCTGCCCTGTGACCCCGAAAGGCTACAGTCAGGGGTAGCTGTGTGAGCAGATGCCATCAATGGCTGCGGAGGATGGAATCGGGGCACTGGCCGGACTGGCTCAGTTGTGAC